ACATCAACTCACAGTGCTTCCGCTCGGTGGGAAAAACCGTCATTAAAATGAAAAGACGCTGCCGAATGTGAGAAAATATTCACATTTCATGCATACAAAAAAGAAAGGGTTAATGTCTGTGTCTACAAAGAACTAAAACAATTCATTAACAATAAAACAAACGGCCCTTTCAAAATGGGCAGAATAGCACACTAGACTCTTCTCCAAAGAATATACCCAGATGACCAGTAGGTACAAGACAAAATGCTCATCACTATGAGGATAAAGACACAGTTAGGCCATTTCTCCCCTGTGAAGAAGATCCATATCAAAAAGACTAGCAAGTGTGGTGTGAGTGTGGGGGTCAAAGGAACCCTCGTCCAGTTCTCTGACTGGACTGGTCCAGCTCCTATGGGAAGCTGTGCGGGGACTTCTCAAGATATTAAAAATAGACCTTTCATAGCCCAACAGTTCTATAACAAAGGGACAGACAAAACCAAAGATGAGTCCGAGAGATCTTACTGTAGAATTGAGGCTCCCAGAGTGGGGAGGTGGAAGTTGGGAAGCAAAGTATGAGGGGATCCGTGGACTTTATTGGAGGGTTCTGGGTGTCTTGGCAGTGGGTTTGTTACGGCAACATAGATGTTTAGAGGTGTAAATCCATACCTCTGAATCATACACAATATTGTAAACCACTGCTACCACAGTAAAAAGGAAAAAAAAAAAGCTCCAATTCTTGTCAGTTCTATGACTATCTTAATTTATAATCAAGCTCTTTTTTTTTTTTTGCCTTTGATTCTAAATGTAATTTTCTTCTATTTATTTGATATCCACAACCATGGAGTAGTAAGATGTGAATTGCCAGCCCTTCACCATTAATAAAGCAGGAAAGGTCCACTCAGTGTCAGAGTCAACTAGGCTAAGACAGGGCCTGGAGTACAGACCCTGCGTGCAAGAAAGCTGTGAAGAGAAGCTATGGAGGACGTTTAAAAGTTGACTTGCGTACAGATCTGAGTTCTGGCCATAATGATCCAGTCATCTTCGGGGGTTTCCAGTTGACGTCACGTGGCAAATTCTCCACCTGGACCTTAGTTTCCAGGACTGATGCTGACTAACTGGCTTCAGGGACGTGGGCATGCATACCGTCTGTCGTCAAGGTGTGCAGCGCCGGCACAGAGTTCCGGGTCTGAAATGACAAACGCTCACGAGGTTACAGGACCCTTCCCAGAATGGAGATGCCAGACTTTTCAGAGTTCTGATTTTGTAGAGCTTTGTCTGCCTGTTCAAGAGTCTGAGGCACATAGCACCAGCCACTTCAATTCTAAGGTCCTGTTCTGACTTTGTCACACTACATAGGGGTAACAAATTATTATTGAAAAATAAGGCAGACACTGGATGATTTTACTCATGTGGTATACAAATAAAACAAGCTATAAATAAAGTATAGATGCTCTTTTTGGACTATAAGATCAACTAGTAGTTATCAGAGGAGATGAAAGGGGACGGGAGGGAATGGGCAAGGTCCATAAGGGGAGAAAGTTGAGCAGCAGGGTGGTGAGGGAGACAGTGACCTTTTAGTGGCAAACTTCCTGTGGCATATACTTGAGTCTCGGGCCTGAAACTTCCATCATGTCACACGGAAACATTATGCCAATAAAAAGAGAAAACTTAGAGACCTTACCACGTAGGCAGCATGTGAGAAGGCAGGAGCTGGTGGTGGTGGACAAGCTGGGGCCTGAACGCCTGCAGACACATTGCTCATCTCTGCTGTGATCTGGGCTTCCTGTGTGACGTTCATGTGCATGAGAGAAGCAAATCAGAACTTAACTTTGAATGCGTTAACTGGGGTATTTCTGTCAGACACCCCGAAAATGTAATTCCCTGGAGATGAAGGAAGGACCCTCAGAGGAGGCAGCTGGAATGGCAGCGGCGGGAGGCCCCGGGCTCCTGTAGCAGGGCTCCCGCTCTGCCCGCCGCTCCGCTGGGCCGCTCCGCGCCGCGCAGGCCTCTCCTGGAAAGAGCGGGGTGACCCTCAGGGCCTAGCAGAGCGTCAGGACCTCCTCCGACCTTGAGGCTCGCGCACACTGGAGAACCTCAGGTCGCCGTCCAGCCCCGCCCCTGGCGTCCCCTGCTGACTGGCGTGTCCAGGCTGTCCCCGGTGGCCCTCAGGAGTTGTGCGCCCGGCCTCTGCCGGCTCCCCCACAGCCATGATTCTGGCCCGGCCCCTTGTGCTCTGGCTCTGCCTCTGGGCACTGCCCACCACGTCTGACCACTGGTGCCGCCTCGTGCGTGGCAGCTGGCGCTGGCCCGTCCAGCCGCCGGCACCGCCGCAGCTGGCCTCGGGGTCACCCCTGGCTGCTGCGAGTGGGAGCCTGGCCCACCCCTTAGGCAGCGTGCACCAGCCCCGAGCTTCGTCAGAGGACAGCACCGTCTTGCGTGCACAAATTTTGACTTAGACGGCTGAACCCTGGACAGTCTGTGGAGGCGGCAGGGCCCGTGGCCTCAGCTCTGTCGACTTCCCCCAGGCTCCCCTTGTTGCGTGGCGCCTGAGCCCGAGTCATGCCTCACAGGGAAAGCGCACAGGTGAGGATCATGAGCCAGGGGAGCCCCCGGACCAAGCAGCATTTCAGAGTAGTTGGGAGAAGATCTGTGCGGGTGGGAGGCGCAGTGGGGCCACGGAGTCCCCGTGGACGTGGGCGTGGGGTCAGCAGTGACACGTAGGTCCAACACTTCATAAATGGGAATAACAGACTGTCGTGGCCTGAGTGGCCAGAGATAAAGGCGCCCACACCCACGTTGCCCGTAGTAGTAGAAAGCTTCCTTTTTCTCCACTTTTTCATCTAGTACTGGGCCCTGGCGAAAAACTTCACTGTCATAGGCAGTAGGAGGGTAAATGAATGGAGAATCCTAGACCACGTGTTATCAGCAGGGGAGGATTAGATTTGAGAGGATTGGGAAAATAAATGTGGGAGCTATTCTGCCTTGTTCAATCAAGAAATAAAAGCCTGTTCTCCTAAAGCTTCTTTCTATAAAAATTAGATTTAGAACTTTAGTATTTTACCATGGATGAACATACATGAAACTTTCAAAGGCATTTTCGTGGAAACATTATACTTCTACTGTATACACAAGCACTCATTTATAGCCAGGATCAAGAAAAAATTTTATAAAGCGTCACATTGTTTTAATCACTAAGTTTTATCACTGTTATTTTTAACTTTTTGTTTTTAACTGTAATTAAAAATTATTGGCATCTGTGTTTACATTTTAGCTTGTGCACACCGATCTTCATAGCAGAGTGTAATTAGTATGTGAAACACAGTGCCACTACACTTGTATTAAGGGAGAAAATTCTAAGCTGGTCACATGTAAAAGATGGTAGAAAATTCATTTTCGTATGTGAGAGGTGTATATGCTGTTTATTCCAATTCCGCTCTTATAACAAAGATACTGTAGCTTTTGTCTTTACATGTCTTTATGTGGTAACTTCAGTGTGGTAAGGCAGATTATGTAATTTAGAAACAACTAATCTTCTTTCAGACATTTCTTTTAGGGCGTGACCCAGCGGTAAGGAGAATACTGGTACGTTTTCCTATTTATTACGCGATGCTCAGATGCTGCAGTATCCGATACCTCACTGCTTTGCTTTCCTCATGGACACTGAGCACCGTCTGGCCAAAATGAAGGTTCTGAAAAGGCCGGGGCTCTTGTCTGTTCATGCTCTCAGTGGTAGTGTAGGGCGTTACCTGGCAAGTATTAGCTGAAGGACGGAATGACAGAATAAGTGAAATTCACTTTACATTAAATCTTAGAACTCATGTCTGTGATGAACACTTTCAGTGACACCGTTACCGTCAGATGATGATTAGGGCGGGCCCTGGGGTAGATCCGTAACTTTGATTTGTTTCTGGTTTATTTTGTTTTGTGTTAAGTGGTTTGCCGTTATGATTAATTGAGAAGCTATCATATGACATGACAGGGGCTGTTTGAACATGCAACCTGGCTCTTAATAAGTCGTTAATTCTGGAGTAGTTTCATACTCTTAACTTTTGCTTAGACGTAATTGGTGTCACCCTCGAGTTGAGTTTTTGGAACATTCGTATGTCTGCTCTATTGGTCGTTTATCCTCTAGGTTTCTCGAAGGCCAGATGCTCTTGTTAAGATAATAAATATGTTGCCGTGTTAGTGTTTTGCATCTACCTCTAACTTTATCTAACTGAGATTTCACGGTGTGAAGAAGTTGGCCTTTGTATAGGCAACCGGAAGCTGTTGACCTCAGCAGTCCTTTTCTTTCCTTTTCCTTCAATGTGGTGTTACTTTGGAAATGTGAAGCACTTGTCTAGTTCTCCATATGTTAAAGAATATCTCTCTTAGTTCACTTTTGATGTCAAGATGAGATTATGTACAAAATTGGGGAAATAGATTCTCAGTGTATTTTTAATTTGAATATATACCCAGAGTTAATTTTTTGAAGAGGCATGTTAAAAAATTATGCATAAAGTGACACAATTTTTGTACTGCTTCCTGTTTCTAAAATGTAAAATTTAGCATTAAATGCTTTTTCATGTATTTTGTGTACCTGTTTTCAGTAACCAATTTTTTTCTCTTAAGTAGGAGACTTGCTATTTTTATAACCTTTACTTAACTATATTCTTAAATGCCTCTGAATAAGATATAAACATGAAAATAGCAACTACTGTGTGTCTAAATATTACCTGGTAATACATTCCTTTCAAGGAGAAAGTGCTACTTAATGTTCCAGGATCTGCATAATTTTCAGTGCTTTTTGCATCACCAAAATTTGTATTATTTCATCATGGCTCAGTTTGCATGAGTTTCTACCTTACCGCCATCGTCATTAATTTGGTCTTCATTTGGGGGGAGGAGGAACTTATTAATAAAAGAGAATATTAACAGAGGATTTTGATATCCTTACCTGCCTCTGGCATATAAAATATTGAAATTTTTTTATGTAATTAGTTCTTACAGCGCATATTAAAAGATTTGCCTTTTTTTTGTAGGATGAAGTGGCACACACTCTCACTGAAAGCAGGGTATTAAAGAACACTAGACATCCCTTTTTAACAGTAAGTACTAGAGGACAGGTGTTAGATTCCTAACTTAAAATTAAGGGGTTCTTTATTGCAGAAAATAAGTTCTGAAAATAACATTTTAAATAGCATTCATTTATGGTTATGCCATATATATCCTTGAAGATACTGGAATGTGTGGGTTAAGCTTAAGATATGCATGTATGTGTATATATGGAATCCCTCTCATAACATATTAATTTGGAGGACTTTTTGTTCCATGAGTTTCACGATAGAGCAACATTTTAAGTAGATTACCATAAAATAGTAGGCTCATGATAGAGCAACATTTTAAGTAGATTACCATAAAATAGTAGGCTTAGAGAGATTCTTAGTATCAAAGGTGAATATTTTATGCTCCTTTTGTTTATTAACTTCTGATCTTTAAATGTTTAGGCAACATTGTCTTTAACATGAAAGACAGAAATCTTCACTTATTCTTTCTTATAGTGGTAAAATATAACAACAGAGTAGAATAGAATAAATTTAAAGCGACAGAATAGATCTTTAACAACTGACTATATTGACTAGGCTTTCAGATGTGGGGAAAACCTTTTAAAGATTTAGGACTATTGAGAGTTGGAATTTTCAGAGGTATCACTAGATACCTAGGCATATTTTGTTACTAGTTTATTACGGTTGTCATCCAGTGTCACCATTGCTGCTGTCTTTACAACCTCCCAATTTACATGAACACTGTTGGGAGATGTTATGCATGACTCAGAACAAAGAGTGATACTGAAACTGTCTTAGGAAACCTGACCATAAGTACTCCAACTTCTGTTAGAAGACCTTTCCTAAGACTTCTGATACAGTCATCTGTGTATCTTGCTTTCATTGCATGGATAAGAACTCCAATTTCACATAAATAGCATAGTAGGCTGGGGAGGGCTTGTCACATTAAGTTTATTTTTACTGAAAATTTTAATTTAAAAATTTCCCTTAGTGACGCATACGCAGGGATGTTAGAAACAAATTCATGTTCAGAAACTTAATGGAATAAAGAGGTTCGAAGGAGAAGTAATAGTTGGTTTCATCTGTCAGACTTGCTTGTTCTGTCTTTTATTATGGTACTAGGATAAAAAATGGGATTATAATTTAGTAACAGTTTTTCTTTTTCATTTCAAGTCCTTGAAATATTCCTTCCAGACAAAAGACCGTTTGTGTTTTGTGATGGAATATGTTAATGGGGGTGAGGTGAGTAAATCTGCCCATTCTGCTTTTATGTATCCTGTTGTTGTCAGTTTTTTTTTTTAAGTTATTTAAAAATCTGTTGCAATTTAATAATTCTCTAATTGTTGTTAAGAATTATTTTTTGACTACTTTTTATGTTTCGGAACTTGTAATCATTACTAAATAACAATACCAATTAATTAACAATGGAAATTAATAATAATTCAAACATTTACAAGTGTGATCTTAAAATCATTTTATTCAAAATTCATAAGCTCTATGATACTTCTTAAAATACTTCTACTCAAGTTTTTGTGAAACTTGTAAAAATATTTTACCCTGTTTAAGCTCAGTTTGACACTAGCGGACAGGCTCACTGCAGCGGAATCTTCTCGTCTGCGTTGTAGGATGACTTACGGTGTTTCAGAGATCTCGTCACTGTGAAGAGAGATTAAATCATTTCATTTTTACATTTCACCTATTCGTTTATTGCTTATCCTCTCTGCTCCCAATTTCTCATCAAAATCAGTGTGAGACAAAAATATAATTTACAGAAATACCTAAATTGTGGACTTTGTGAAGTAAATTCGGTCATTTAATATTTAATTCTAATATTAAGAATTAATCCTATAATAGCTTCTTTTATGTCATGGATTTGCAGCTATGTTATTTTGAAAAAAAAAAGCGTTATCTTCTACAGAAAGTTTTCTCTTAGAATTCTCTGATTTATGAGGATTCATTGCAAATTCATTTGGTTAATTAAAAACATTTGAGTAGAATAAGCAGTATGATATTAGCAAATGTATTATTAATACACTATCCTTAATATGAATGAAAGAGTTTATAATTTATCTTATGACTGTATTAAAAATTAAAATGTATAGTGCATGACTAAACACCGGAAGTTCATAAAGTACTTTGTGAACGATCTCGCATGTAGTGTGGGCCTTAACTGCCTGGTGAGATTTCAGCACGCAGCCGTTTGGAAAGGTATTTCTGGCAGGGAAAGTGATGTGAGCAGAGCTGCTGGTGGGCGAGCAGCGAGCAGGAGGGGCTGGCGCGACTGCATGCTGCGGGGCTCACACACGCAGAGCCGGGCCCTCGCGGCCGGGTGTCGTCTGAGAAAATGGGAAGAAGGTGGACGTTGTAGAATCGTAAGGGATTTGTGTAAGCTTTGTAAACAACTAGTTGGATATGGATAGAAAGAAGTATCGAAGTGCTTTGGGTTGGAATCAGAATTAATGGATGCAGGTAAGCTACAGGAATGTGGAGAGGCTGAGATTAGGACTTAGGTTGTGGAGTTTCTCGTAAGGTGTCTGAGAACTACGTTTGTGGACTATGACGGAATAAACAAGGCCAGCACTGACTTGGCACATTTGGAAGTCACTCACGTGGTGGTTACGATTTAATTATGGACATGGATATTTAGTTAAAGTGACAGATGTTCTACTTTTCTCTGTCAGAATTAAAACTGCACATATTTCTGGGTACAGGATTTTCACTTCCAGAAAGTTATCCTGTGGACATACTAAAAATTATGCCATAGAATTTATATGGATAAATATATTCATTGCAGCATTGTATGTTCAGTGAACATTCAGTAAGGAGATACTTGGAGACATTGTATTATATCCACACAGTGGAATATTTGTTTTTGTTACAAAGATGATGCAACCTACTAGACTACTAGATTTCTAAGGTGTAACGAGGTAAAACAAAATACAGCCAGAGTATAAAGCTTACTGCCAATACAAGAAAGTAACACCACACACATGTGTTTATGTGTTTGCTTGTAAGTATACTCACTATCTGAAATTATGCAGTGAACATTGTCGCTCACTTTTGGGAAGGTAAACTACAGGAAACAAGGTAGGGTGAAGATTTATTGATATGTTTATGTGCAGCTCATGTGTGTATTACCTATTCCAAAAAAAGTGAAGGACAGGTAGGCAGGCAGGTGGATGGCTGAATGGAGGAGTAGACAGAGAAGAGAGAAATATAGGCAAATTGATAAGCAGCGTACAAAAACTTGGAGAAACACTCTTAAATTGGCGAAATAGTCTGGGAGTTGTGTGTTTACGTTTATTATAACAATTTTCAAATTGTTTTGTGGTTATTGACTTGTCTTTTTCCCACTAGAATCTGAACTCCCTGAAGGATTTGCTTACTGGTATAAGCCCAACATCTTACACACAACTTGGCATATAGTCAGAACTTGACAGATATTTTTTGGATAAGTTGATTGAATATGAGAACAGACAGACATATTTCCCCAGGGAACAGAGGAGAAAGGTTCTGAAAAATGGTAAACTGGTACTGCTGAAAAGTAGGAAGAAAAATGTTTATTTTGGAAAGAGGTGAAAATGACATTTTTAGGAGTATTTTTGAGTATTTGTAAAATACATATTTACTGAGTCTTTTTTGCTACATGACACTCTGGTAGATAGCTGGGGGCATAAAATTCTGATGAAACACATTACCCTGGAAACATTATCTTCCCCTGAGACACTAATTGTCAAAAGAGAAAGTTAAGATACAAAATTTCCCCTGAGTTTAAAGTGATAGTTATCACTCTCTGAGTGAAGTCAGGGACCATGTAACTTCATGGGAGCAAGAGAATTTTGCAAGGTGGCTTTCTAGAAGAGCTACCTGGCCTCCAACTTTTGTGCTAAGGGTACCCATGAGATTTATTAACTGATGATTTAAAAAAGAAATTTAAGCGAAAGCAGATTTTCAGACTAGCCGGATGGTTTTCTTTTGCATTGAAATTCCTACATCATTTTTTTTTTTTTTTTGCATTTTTCCTCTTTTTTCAGGATTTTTGTTTTAGGAGTACTCTAGATGAAAACTAAAGTATTCAATGTTCTGAAGTATATGTGATTTCTAATTTTAAAGTACATGAGTAGTAATTATAGCATTGTCTATAGCATAATTAAAAATTATGTAAAATGTAGTTATAACATTTCTATAACACACATATAGAGAAATGAAAATTAATTATGTTCGGAAAACTTAGCAAGCTATAAGTCTTATGTATGTAATTTTCCAATGTCTTATTCACTTAAGTTGTCAAAGGTATTTTAAATGCATTTTACATTTGAGTTTTGGCAGAGAACAGCTGGGATTATGGCCATCGTGCGGGGATGAAGGGTTCGCCAGAGACAGCGCAGGGCACAGAACCATCAGATTTACTGAAGTACACTGCTGAGGGAGCAGGGGGGAGACAGCAGAGGTTACTGCGCCCCTGGCTCACTCCCTGGGCTGGGATCGAACTCAGACCATAGCAGTCATAGCTCTGAGGCTCAACCCCCAGCCCACCAGGAAAGGCCCAGATGCATTTTAAATGTACCGTGCTGAAGCAGTATATTACTCCTTGAACTTAATAGTACATATTATTTGCCACATTTGTTTTTGGGAACCTATTTAAGTTGATCTTATCTCCAATTCACCGTGCCAGTTCAGCAATGTTTATCCTGAAGTCAGTACATCAAGGGAGACTCATTTCCTTATATTTTCTTTATGCTTCTGTCATTGTCTAGAGTTCGTTCAGACACACCACACAGGGCCCGCATGCTCAGGGCCAGCCTTGTGTTACTCGTTTTGTTTGCCAGTCTTAGAGTCCTAAATTGTTTTGGAATTGGATTGTGAGGGAAGTCAGTTCACACATTGTGAAAAATCATGTGTGGTTCCTTAAAGGCATACTAATACAGTGAGTTCAGTATCTTAATTGCATTAAATTTGTATAAATTCAAGGAATTAAGCACACCAAGATAGGATGGGTGGATGGTAGCAGGGAGGGAGGGAGGGACTCACCATTCTTGATGAGTGTGTTCAGAGTGACTTGAGCGATGAAGCAGTGGGTTTACTGTTCTTTTGCTCAGCAGTACTGACTTGCCTCCTTCACCGAGATACTAATATGGTTCTGAAAAATAAATAGTTTCCATAAAGTATTTCCATGAAGAGCATGATAGCAAAAGGTGCTCATGTAACAAAAGTATTTTTTCAGTGCTGGAAGAGAAACTCTTCAGGGAGTAGCTGTCAGGAGTAGATTGTTCTTCAGAGTAGTGTCTTCCTAAGCAACTTACAAGGTGATTTTGACTGATTATACATTCGCCTACTAAAGAAACAGGGGCCTCCCTGGTGGCGTGGGGTGAGGCCCAGCGCCCTCATGCTGTCACTGCTGCAGCCGGCGCTGGATCCCCGGCCAGGGAGTGACCCGCTGGCGGGCAGACCTCTCCCGTGTCTCCCGCTGCTCCCCTCAGCCTGTATCTCAGTAGACCGCCTCTTCTGCTCCCCGCTGCCTCTGGTGAGTCCTCTCACTCCCACACTGCTGGCCTATAGACAAGTACTTCTATTAAAAAAAAGGGAGAAACTGCCTGAGAGACTGCTGTAATGAGGTTTTATAATCAGAATATAAAATGATAATGATTGAAAAATATTTGAGAAGCAATCAGATTCTAGTGATGTTTAGGTTAGAGAGTTTCCAGGGTTAAATTAATGGAGGGAGAGCACCGGGGTTTCCCCTTTGCCGTTGGGGAAATTACGTGGCTACAGGCGAGTCGTAACGGCCAGATACGTAGGCAGAGGAATGGTTTCGGGGGTCTCCCCGTAGTCAGCACTGCCGGGGGCAGTGGTAGTGCCACGGGGGTGAAGAAATGTCCAGTGTGGGGAAAGCTGGTAGCGTTACACTTTTGGCCGGGGAGTGCCTGGAGATGCCAGCATCAGACTATTGGTGGTGAAAGAACCCCAGTGATCCTGGGAAGATTAGACAAGAAAAACATTAGAAGTTAGCTAGAATGTATTAAGGCTCACAAAGTGTAATAAAGGCTGCAGTAGACACGTGAAATAAAGTGTTCACTGTATTTGCCACGTACCGCTGTGCAGAATACCGTGGATTCTTCCCTTTTCCTGGGTTTGTGGGTCTGCAGTGTGGCTTCAGTACCTGATGTATGAGGGGTGGCTTGAAACAGACTAACAAGGTTCTGAATTGAGTTCAGTGCAACTGCTGGTTACAGTACATCGAC